TCCCCGATGTAGCTGAGGAAACTGAGGCCTACGAAGGTCAAGTAACTTTCCCACACTCACTCCCCAAGTACTTCCTGAGGTTGCCAAACAAACCTCAAGAAACCTGACCCCCAGTAAATGGAGGTGTCCCTAAACTGCTCTCAAGCACAGTGGAGTCCCTAAGGCGCTCTGATAACATGGTCTTCACACGCCTGGCCCTGGGCTTTTTTTGGGGGGTGTTGGGGGACCCCCTGACTTGGGCTGCTTCTCCCTGATTTTTTGGGCTCAGTCTCTGAGCCAGCCTTGTGTCCTTTCTCCGAAGGTCAGGTCTGTCATCACCCATCTGATGGAAATGCCTCAGGATACAGGACCAGCAGTCTAACATGGTGTCCTCAGCAACACGTACTTCATGAACGTGGTGAAAGAACAGAGCCGCCGCATCTCCGTCTCTTGTAGCAGAAGCAGAGCAACGTCTGAAAGGAGAGGAAAGATGGATCATTGAAAGGGGGACGGAGAGCTGCCTTCGAGGTTCACCCCAGACAACACTGAGGGTGTGGAACCAGGTTACTTACATTTAACATCATCTAGCGTCACGTAGCCCTGCTGACCCCGCTTCTCTAAGGCTTTAGCTACCTTCTCGTCTCGTGCAGCAAACCTCTTCTCTGCCAACCTGTTTTGGAATAGAACAGTCTCCAGTAGTGTTTGGAGAGACTGAGTTGCATGTGATCTATCCTGACGGGCAGGAAGAAGAATGAAAGGCTCAGCTGCTAGCTAAAAGGTTGGTAGCTTGAACCTGTCGAATGGCTCCGAGGGAGAAAGACCAGGTGACCAACCCCCATAAAGAATTCAAATTCAAATTCACTGCCCTCGAGTCCATGCTGTCTCGCAGCAACCCTAAAAGACAGGGTAGAACTGCCCCTGTGGGTTCCTAAGGCTCTAACTCCTTGCAGGAGTGGAGAACCCCTTTTTCCTTCTGAGGAGTGCTGGTGGTTTCGAACTGCTGACTTTCAGTTAGCCACTGTGCATAACTGCTCTGCATCTAGAGCTCCTTCCCATAAAGAATGCAGCCCAACGGGCAGATATTCTCCATCACATGGGGTCAGAAGGATGGTGCCCAACAAGAGCAGGGGAAGGCTGTGTTGTGCGTGGGCTTCACAGAAAATCACTTTTGACTATATTGTACTGATTATCGTTACTATGTTAGGGGTGGGAGGGACGCACACTGCCTCATGGAAAGTGTAAGTGCCAATTCCATCTACAAGGGATCATTTAAATCATCTGTTTAGGCCGTGCAGCTACCCTTTTCAGATTTAAAAGGGGCAAAAAGTTGAAAAGCTGCTGATTTTCTAATTTGCATAGGGACCCTTTTACGGGAATGTTTGTCACTGTCGTTCTGCAATCACACAGGTTCTCTCCTGAGAGGACACCGGAGGGCAGGGGGCAGGGCGTTTGCTGCGGGTGGGCGTGCAGGCCGGTGGGCCGTCACGTTACCTGTCTGCCGCTGTGCCGTCGCTTTCTGCAAAGTGCACCGATTTGCCCTTCTTGCTTTTCTCCTTGAGCTCCACTGGTGTAAAACTGAGATTCGAATGAGAGGATTACGGACTTAATCTTTGCTGGGGGCGAAAATGGTTAGTTCCTCTCAGCGGGTGGGGCCCGAAGAACACTGGCACGCACGGACAGCCTAGAGAAGGACTCAGCGGTCCGCTGGCTCCGGGAAACTGCACATAAAACGTCTCCACCGGAACGGTGGCAGTGACTTTGGAAAAAACACAACACTCCAAAACAGTTTGGAAGGATCTTTTACTTCATTGAGTGTTGATTGAACACCAAGCGCTTTCAGCA